AAATGTTACTTTTCAGACAAAGTCAACAATATTTTCAACAAATAATTTCTGCAAAGGTCATTATTGACAATTTTCCTGACATGGGTATACCAACCAACTTCCGCATTTTTATCATTTTGAGGAAAAGTTATGAGCCAGTCTCATTGTATATACACTGACATGAGCCTGTATGAAAAACCTTAAACTTCTCATATTTTACCATTGGAGTTCAGTTGAGTTTTCCCATGACTATTCCTTGTATTGTTGATGGCCATGTATAATTCAGACTGAAATCCAAAACGTGGATATGGTGGCAATTTAAACAACACATTTCAGTCTTAAAATTTGTCATTTAACTCTTTAAAAGCCTATTTCTCCTAAATGAGAGTTTGAATTTCAATAAAGCATATCATGCATCATCCTAGGGACAATGGAATCAAATATTGAATTTGTATTAAGGAAAGGTTTGCTCCACTCAAGAGATTGAGGGTTGCGACACAATAGCGGAAAGTTTAGAGTTGGACATTATATGGGCTTTTTGTATCTTACAGAAATTTCTTCAATACCCAACACTACCGGAGGATGAGCTAAATGATTTAAACGAAATGGTTCAACCAATAGAGAAATACTTTGAGGAAGGATGTAAGTTTCTGAATTATGTATAATATGTTAACTAATAGCATGTATGTCTGAGAAATTTTATCCCACTGGATTAGATGTGGCCCTCAATGTTATTGATTACATTTTTCTTACACCTCACTTTAGCATTTGGATCACTTGATTCAGTGACATACAGTCTTTAGACTGGTCATGCTGATAATATTTCAAATTTTGGGATATTGTAAACTGTTCCTTTATTGGTCAATTCTAACACTGCTCAACATACTGTTTGCACAAACTTTGTGTTACATAATAAATGACTTACTTGTGTAAACAGTTTTTCATGTATAATTAATAAAACAACTTAAAGCTGACAGTGTAAGTTAAAAAGCTTTCAATTGAGTTTTTTTTTTTTTTTTAATGTTTTTCTAGTTAGCTCACCTGGCCCGAAGGGCCATGTGAGCTTATTCCATGGTGCAGCGTCCGGCGTCCGTCAACTTTTTCGTTTAAAATGCTACTTGTCCTGAATGGCTCAGAGGATTTTGACCAAATTTGGTCAGGAGCATCATTGGCCAAAGGGTTCTCAGTTTTGTATAAACGGAGGGTATAACCCCCCTGGGGGCAGAGGGGCGGGGCCAAATAGGGGGAAAATAGGTAAATCTTTAAAAATCTTCTTCTTCTCAACCAATAGAAGGATTTTGACCAAATTTGTCCTAGAGCATCTTTGGACAAAGGAGACTCAAGTTTGTATAAACGGAGGGTGTGGCCTCTTTGGGGGCAGAGGGGCGGGGCCAAATAGGGGAAGTAGAGGATTTTTTCTCTCCTACTATACAAGTGAAGGGATTTAAACCAAATGCAGTCTGAAGCTTGGTCAGGAGCATCATTGGCCAAAGGGTTCTCAGTTTTGTATAAACGGACGGTATAGCCCCCCCTCGGGGCAGAGGGGCGGGGCTAAATAAGGGGAAAAAAGGTAAATCTTTAAAAATGTTCTTCTTCTCAACCAATTGAAGGATTTTGACCAAATTTGTCCTAGAGCATCTTTGGACAAAGAAGACTCAAGTTTGTATAAACGGAGGGTGTGGCCCCTCTGGGGGCGGAGGGGCGGGGCCCAATAGGGGAAATAGAGGATTTTTTTTCTCCTGCTATACAAGTGAAGGGATTTTAACCAAATGCAGTCTGAAGCATGATTAGGGACAAAAGAATCAATTTTGTATAAACTGAGGTGTGTGGGCCTCCTTCTAAGGGCAGATGGGTGGGGCCCATTAGGGGAAATAGAGGAAAACATCAAATATCCTTCTCCTTTTGTACCGATGAAGGGATTTTGACCAAATTTGGTCTGGAGCATCATTGGCCAAAGGGTTCTCAGTTTTGTATGAACGGAGGGTATGGTCCCCCTGGGGGCAGAGGGACGGGGCCAAATAGGGGAAAATAGGTAAATCTTTAAAAATCTTCTCCTCAACCAATTGAAGGATTTTGACCAAATTTGTCCTAGAGCATCTTTGGACAAAGGAGACTCAAGTTTGTATAAACGGAGGGTGTGGGCCTTCTGGCGGCATAGGAGCGGGGCCCAATAGGGGAAATAGAGGATTTTTTTTCTCCTACTATACAAGTGAAGGGATTTAAACCAAATGCAGTCTGAAGCATGCTTAGGGAGAAAAGAATCAATTTTGTTTAAACTGAGGTGTGTGGATTCCCCTTCTTTGGGGCAGATTAGTGGGGCCCATTAGGGGAAATAGAGGAAAACATTAAAGATCCTTCTCCTTCTGTACCGTTGAAGGGATTTTAACCTAACCAAACTTGTTTTAGAGAATCTTTGGGCAAAGGGAATTGAATATTTATAAATGGAAGATGCAACTTTGTTACTTGTACTCCTTTGATAAACCTGAATGGTACTCAGCAGGTTTTAAATTGAAAAATAAAATACCAGGTGAGCTATTAAGGCCCCTGGGCCTCTTGTTTAGATATCTTCCCCGTCTCTTCTTTCTACCGTTTCTAAGGAAGTGCCGACTGGGTATAAAAAGCACATTACCTGTCAAACCGGTTATCATTTGTTCAATATGTGTACAAGGTCACACTACTTTACTATATAATAGAACACCTTCATGCACAATTTTTTACCAACATTTTGTATCGGAGCAGTTGAACATAATTAAGTGGAAATAGTAGTAAAATATGACCAATCAAAACATCAAATGCACAATCCCAGGCCCCCCCCCCCCTTCCAAAAAAAATCCCGCCCTGAAATGCCTTCCTTTTAGATATCCAAATAGTGATTAACCTCCTGTGTGAAAACAATACTAATTACAATCATTTCCATGAGAACGATTCAATTATCAAATTTCACATTGTTGACTACACACCTGGGAGTGTCACATTTTGCACATGTTTTACTAGTAAAGCATCAACACGGCGAAGACTAAGAGTTCATGATAAAGTTTCGGTGTGTTGGTGCAGCTCTATGCACGAGAGAGACCGGTGTTATATACGGGATTTATAGAAGTATGTTCAGTAATATACTTTTTATTTTGGATACACAATTTTATTTTGCTAGTAAAGAATGTGCCATAACTAAGTAACAACCAGCTTGGCAGTGTTTTAAAGTGTGATATCCTAACTGTTACTATAGTGTGATATCCTAACTGTTACTGTAGTGTGCTATCCTAACTGTTACTGTAATGTGATATCCTAACTGTTACTGTAATGTGATATCCTAACTGTTACTGTAATGTGATATCCTAACTGTTACTGCAGTGTGCTATCCTAACTGTTACTATAGTGTGATATCCTAACTGTTACTGTAATGTGATATCCTAACTGTTACTGTAATGTGATATCCTAACTGTTACTGTAATGTGATATCCTAACTGTTACTGCAGTGTGCTATCCTAACTGTTACTATAGTGTGATATCCTAACTGTTACTGTAATGTGATATCCTAACTGTTACTGTAATGTGATATCCTAACTGTTACTGTAATGTGATATCCTAACTGTTACTGTAGTGTGATATCCTAATTGTTACTGTAGTGTGATATCCTAACTGTTACTATAGTGTGATATCCTAACTGTTACTGTAGTGTGATATCCTAACTGTTACTATATTGTGATATCCTAGCTGTTACTTTAGTGTGCTATCCTAACTGTTACTGTAGTGTGATTTCCTAACTGTTACTATAGTGTGATATCNTGTTACTATAATGTGATATCCTAACTGTTACTATAGTGTGATATCCTAACTGTTACTGTTGTGTGATTTCCTAACTGTTACAATAGTGTGCTATCCTAACTGTTACTATAATGTGATATCCTAACAGTTACTGTAGTGTGCTATCCTAACTGTTACAGTAGTGTGATATCCTAACTGTTACTGTAGTGTGCTATCCTAACTGTTACAGTAGTGTGCTATCCTAACTGTTACTGTAGTGTGATATCCTAACTGTAACTATATTGTGATATCCTAACTGTTACTATTTTGTGATATCCTAATAGGTCCTTGTATCCTAACTGTTACTATAGTTTGCTATCCTAACTGTAACTATATTGTGATATCCTAACTGTTACTATTTTGTGATATCCTAATAGGTCCTTGTATCCTAACTGTTACTATAGTTTGCTATCCTAACTGTTACTATATTGTGATACCCTAACTGTTACTATAGTGTGATATCCTCACTGTTACTGTAGTGTGATATCCTAACTGTAACTATATTGTGATATCCTAACTGTTACTGTAATGTGATATCCGAATTGTTACTGTATTGTGATATCCTAACTGTTACTGTAGTGTGCTATCCTACCTGTTACTATAGTTTGCTATCCTAACTGTTACTATAGTTTGCTATCCTAACTGTTACTATAGTTTGCTATCCTAACTGTTACTATAGTTTGCTATCCTAACTGTAACTATATTGTGATATCCTAACTGTTACTGTAATGTGATATCCTAATTGTTACTGTAGTGTGCTATGCTAACTGTTACTATCATGTGATATCCTAACTGTTACTATATTGTGATATCTGAATTGTTACTGTAGTGTGATATCCTAACTGTAACTATATTGTGATATCCTAACTGTTACTATAGTGTGCTATCCTAACTGTTACTGTAGTGTGATTTCCTAGCTGTTACTATATTGTGATATCCTAACTGTTACTGTAATGTGATATCCTAACTGTGACTTTATTGTGATATCCTAACTGTTACTATTGTGTGATATCCTAATAGGTCCTTGTATCGGAGATACGGGTGCCCTATAGTAATCACTCTGTCTGTCTGTCAAATTGTGTTCCTGGCTGATAACTTTGGTAAATGAAATTTGGTCAAGATGTTCAGTTCACAAAAATACACATTGAGGTAAAAGGTCAAGGTCAAAGGTCAAGGTCATTATGTTCAACGGTCAAGGTCAAATTTTACATCTTTTCACTAATGAACATTTTGTTATGACATTATGCAGCAAAGTTGATCAGAATTAAACAAGGAGTCAACTGACCAAAGGTCAAGGTCATCGTTCAGGGATCAAGGTCAAATTTTGTAGCTTTTCACTGGTGAACAATTCGCTATGACATTATGGAGCAAAGTTGTTCGGAATTAAACAAAGAGACACACTGAGGTAAAAAATCGAGGTTAAAGGTCAAGGTCATTAGATTCAAAGGTCAAGGTCAATTTTGCATCTTTTCACTGATGAACATTTTGTTATGACATGATGAAGCAAAGTTGATCAGAATTAAACAAGGAGTCAACTGACCAAAGGTCAAGGTCATTTGGTCAAAGATCAAGGTTAAATTTTGTATCTTTTCACTGGTGAACATTTCGCTATGACACTTTGAAGCAATTTTGCTCAGAATTAAACAATGAGTCAATTGACCAAAGGTCAAGGTCACTGTGTCAAAGGTGAAGGTTAATTTTTGTACCTTTTCCCTGATGAACATTTTGTTATGACATTATGAAGCAATGTTGTTTAGAACTTAACACAAGAGTCAACTGACCTTAGGTCAAGGTCATTTGGTCAAAGATCAAGGTTAAATTTTGTATCTTTTCACTGGTGAACATTTCGCTATGACACTTTGAAGCAATTTTGCTCAGAATTAAACAATGAGTCAATTGACCAAAGGTCAAGGTCACTGTGTCAAAGGTGAAGGTTAATTTTTGTACCTTTTCCCTGATGAACATTTTGTTATGACATTATGAAGCAATGTTGTTTAGAACTTAACACAAGAGTCAACTGACCTTAGGTCCATGTTACAGGGTCCAAAGGGTCAAGATCAAGTTTTGTATTTTTCACTGTTGAACATTTTGTTATGATATTAAGAAGCAAAGTTATTCGGAATTAAAGAATAAGTCAACTGACCAAAGATCACGGTCACTGGGTTAATGGTCAAGGTCATTTGGGTCCAGAGGTCAAAGACAAAGTGGATCTCTGACTTTGACCATGGCTCATGATGGAGGAGGTATATAAGGTGAAATAAAACAAATCAAAGCTAACAAATAAGTATTGCACCGGTATTTACATTTCTGTTAGCCCAGCAAATATGGAGGTGGAAGGAAACAAGGCTCACATCATAGTACATGTAAAATGTATATTTTGCTTCCTTGCGATTCTTTTTGAAGTCCAAATATCAAACGTCAAGCTCAGCTATATGGGCAGATTGCTTTTTGATGACTATGGGGGATATATTGCCACAAGATGGGGCCTTACTGACCTGTCAGTGTTCTAGTTGTTACTATATTGTGATATCCTAACTGTTGCTATATTGCAATATCCTAACTATTATATATAATGCGATATCCTTGTTACTATAGTGTGATATCCTTTTTTTGGCAGTGGATTCCAAATCAATTGATATTAATGCTAAAATATCAGAGGAAACACTTCAGGAGATTAAGGACCTTGGTTTATTTGGTCAGCAGATTCCGGAGGAACATGGTAAGTTGACAGTCGTTCAGTGAAGAATATCACACAAGTGAAAGGCATTTAGATAAAAAAAATACATTAATACCGGAGAAATGATATTTGAATGTCAGATATGGGATATAGCTTTGTAATGAATAATGATTATACTGGGTACATGTACTTTTACCTGTGTAGATAAATGTATCTGTATTTTTTCATTTGAGAGAAGTAATGCTGAATTGAAATAAATTACTTCAAGTTAAAATAAGAGTGATTATTTTGTCTTAAAGATCTTGCTGATTTCTCACATGTTTATAGACTTGGATAATAAGAAACAAAATATGAAATCATTAGATTGACCAGTTTAATTACCCCTACCTACAAAATTTATCTTTTTGGTATACATGTCAAGCTACTACAGACAGCTAAAGTTTAACTGAACTCTACTTTTAGGTGGACTTGGTCTAAATGCTACCAAGTTTGCTCGTCTGGCAGAGATAACAGCTCTGGATGGATCCGTGGCCGTTACACTAGCAGCTCATCAGTCCATAGGACTAAAGGTACCTGTCACTTCATAGGACTTAAGGTACCTGTCAATTCATAGGACTTTAGGTACCTGTCACTTCATAGGACTTTAGGTACCTGTCACTTCATAGGACTTAAGGTACCTGTCACTTCATAGGACTTAAGGTACCTGTCACTTCATAGGACTTAAGGTACCTGTCACTTCATAGGACTTAAGGTACCTGTCACTTCATAGGACTTAAGGTACCTGTCACTTCATAGGACTTAAGGTACCTGTCACTTCATAGGACTTAAGGTACCTGTCACTTCATAGGACTTAAGGTACCTGTCACTTCATAGGACTTAAGGTACCTGTCACTTCATAGGACTTAAGGTACCTGTCACTTCATAGGACTTAAGGTACCTGTCACTTCATAGGACTTAAGGTACCTGTCACTTCATAGGACTTAAGGTACCTGTCACTTCATAGGACTTAAGGTACCTGTCACTTCATAGGACTTAAGGTACCTGTCACTTCATAGGACTTAAGGTACCTGTCACTTCATAGGACTTAAGGTACCTGTCACTTCATAGGACTTAAGGTACCTGTCACTTCATAGGACTTAAGGTACCTGTCACTTCATAGGACTTAAGGTACCTGTCACTTCATAGGACTTAAGGTACCTGTCACTTCATAGGACTTAAGGTACCTGTCACTTCATAGGACTTAAGGTACCTGTCACTTCATAGGACTTAAGGTACCTGTCACTTCATAGGACTTAAGGTACCTGTCACTTCATAGGACTTAAGGTACCTGTCACTTCATAGGACTTAAGGTACCTGTCACTTCATAGGACTTAAGGTACCTGTCACTTCATAGGACTTAAGGTACCTGTCACTTCATAGGACTTAAGGTACCTGTCACTTCATAGGACTTAAGGTACCTGTCACTTCATAGGACTTAAGGTACCTGTCACTTCATAGGACTTAAGGTACCTGTCACTTCATAGGACTTAAGGTACATGTCACTTCATAGGACTTAAGGTACCTGTCACTTCATAGGACTTAAGGTACCTGTCACTTTATATGACTAAAGGTACATGTCACTTCATAGGACTTCAGGTACCTGTCACTTCATAGGACTTGCGGTACCTGTCACTTCATAGGACTTGAGGTACCTGTCACTTCATAGGACTTAAGGTACATGTCACTTCATAGGACTTAAGGTACCTGTCACTTCATAGGACTTAAGGTACCTGTCACTTCATAGGACTTAAGGTACCTGTCACTTCATAGGACTTAAGGTACCTGTCACTTCATAG